GGGAGAAAAAGCAGTGGGTAAAGGGGCTAATGAGACAGGTTCTGGGCCATAAAATGGGGTTTGGGCTACGTCCAGCTAGCTCTCTGAGAGATAACGACACATTTGTGAGCCAGGCTCTGGTATTGAAAGTGTTCAATGAATACTGATGATCTGGCTAGATCAAACACATCTCAGCCACCAGAGCTGTCCCATGAAAGGAAACAAACTCTGTCCACATATGGGGTGCTTCCTGGAAGTGGTGTCCATTTGTGTTTTCTTAAGGCAACAGAGATGGTGTCTGTGAAGCTGAGCCACAAGAACTGTTCTCCATGACCGCTGCACTCGCCCACCAACTGAGCCATGACTGCACCTTGAGAGTTCACATAAATCTGTTACATTTCCTAACCTTTGACTGTGAGAGATCTGACCAGGAGACACAGAAACACAGTTCTGCACAAAGGGTGTGTGTGGGTGTTCACAACAGCATTCAGCACAATAGTCAGAACAACTCGAGTATCAATCACCCGGTGAACGGAAGTGCATACTGTGGTCTATGTGCTACAACATGGAAGAACTCAACATGATGCCAAGTGAAAAAGCCATAAGTCTTCAGGAAAGCAAAGCTGATACAGAACACAGATGAGTTTCTGTGTTTCCTAGGGCTGTGGCAGAAGCAAGAACAGATTGCAAACAAGTAACACTGCACGGTGATGGCAATGTCACACAACTAGGTAGAGGTGGTAATTGTACACTTGTAGCCATTTGCCAACAAATCACTGAACTGCACCTTTGCACGGCGCGAATTTCATGGTCTGTCAGGAAAACACACGCTGGTTGGATTTGGGCTCCTCAGGCAGGGAGTAGCTGAGGCTTTCAGAGTCCCTTCATGGCCAGGGCTAGTTGCCAGCTCCAAATACATATCTATCTATTGATTCCTCCAGAGGTTCTACAGGATAAGCAGCATTATCCTTGTATCACAAAGAGGACACAGCACAGGGAGGTTAGGGAACATGCCCAAGGTCAGAGAAAGCAGTGCCTGAGCCAAGCTGTGAAATCCCGCAGCCAGAAGCCAGGGTGCAGTGCTTCATCATTACAAGCCCAGCTCCCCCAGATAGTCCCCACTTCTCCCCCTTGCAATGACTGTTCCTCTTTCCTTGTGAACTGTGTCACCTCTACCGTACTTCAGTCCCAGGTCTCTCTAGCTTCACTTGCCCTGGAATCTGACTCCACTTGTGAAGTTCACGCTTCCGGTCCCTCCATATCCACAGTAGACATTGCACGTAAATTACACAGCTCTCTACATGCCATATGACTGTGGGTGGCTATCCTCTCTATGGAGAGGGTCTTTATGGGAGGTAGAGTTGAAGAGCATGTGTGTAGTTTTCAGACAGCAACAGGGACATATTGTTTCAAAAACTTGCTATGCTCTCTGCCCTGAGACCAACAGATACCTTCCCCCAAAATGCTTCCTGAAAACTTTAATGAGTCTCAGGTTCTCCTTAGGGAATGACCCTGCTGGGTCTGACTACAGCGGGGGTTCCCTTGGCTGCAGGCTGCGTCTCTTTTAGGGAGCTTGTTTTAAACAGTGCACAATCCCAACCCATTTCAGTGGAGCAAAGTGTGGGGGCATCTAGAGAAGTGAGCACATGGGTTCTCTGGAGCCCACTTCTTTCATGTACTCTGCCGGTGACTGCTCAGCTGTCCCGCGACACACCGTGCTCTCAGTGGCTGTCAATTAGCTTCCTCTGCTCCTGCGCCTTGGGCAAATGTTAAGGACAAGCTTGACAAAAGCATCTGTGTTCCACATCGAAGATTTTGGGAGCCACGGTCAGCCGCTGAGCTCTGTGGCCCCTGAAGTACACAGCACAGGAAGCTCTTCCCCCGGGAGCTGGTTTCCTGTCCATCCCAGAAGCACCTTTCTCTCCATCCCACTGCCATTTGAAGATACTCTGCTAGCTATGAAAATAACAAATGCTCCAAGCTTTTCAACATTAGAATTAATACTCAAAGGAAGAAGACCTGATGTGTGAGCCATGGGATCTGACTTCTGCCTGGAAGGAGAAACATTTTATGCCCAACAGAATTCCTGGTCTAAACTCAGAATGGCCCTCATACTGCTCATTGAAATGTCTTTTAAAAAAATGTCTCAAACACAAGACTGCCAGAAACACTTTTCTGAAGTACCTGTCTGCTAGCATCACCACTCACCCAGCGATAGAACCTTGCTTCAAACTTTCCTTCGGGTGCTTTTCATTCTGTTTCCCAGGATCAAATCAGAACGCGTAAGCTGAGCCTCGGGGTCTCTCCACACAATGTCTCCTGCTCTAGCTTTGTCTCTTCTCTCTCTTCAGTCACACCTATGTTCTTTCTCCTCAGGCACTGGCATCTTGACTTGGCAGCCCTTCCCATCCTCCTGTTCTGCCTTCAGCCTGTGGCTCTGGTAAGAAGCCTTGCACTCCTCCTCACTTTCCCCTTCTCCTCCTGCAGGCTGAGTGATGTGACCCCAAAGCACGCTGGCTGTCACTAGTGTAAGGCTTAACCTACACTGGCCCAAGGATATGGACTTGGCTGTCTCCTCAGTGAAACTCAAGACACTGGAGGTTAGGGGCTGTGCCTCTGACATCTCTTCCTTGATGGCATCATAGCCGACAAAATGCTCCAGGTGACAAACAGTCACAAACCACATGAATGAGCCAAGAGCAAAAACAGGAAAGAAATCTGGGTTAATGTGAAGTGTACAGCTCTGCAGAAATCTTTAAAGCTAGGAGTTGACGGGAAAGGGCAGTTTTACTAGCATATTTTCCAGAAGAGAATTTCAGCACCATGTTATCCAGATTATGAAGCCCAAGGCAAGTTCCTGGTTCTGAAGTGTGTAGTCACTTATCTTCCTGTTTCCCTATTACTGGGGGAAACAGTGTGCCTGCTGTGTCAGGCATCCTGGGGGAAGCTGAACAAGACAGGGCAGCCCCTCTATTACTGAGCACTTAGCAAGGTCTATTTGGGGAATGAGATCTTCCTGCTTAAGAAAGCCTATCGATAGACTAGGAATGTAGAGGAATCAAGAAAGGAAGAGAAAGGTGTTTGGAAGCAGGCCCAGGATCTAGTAAGAGCTCAAAAAAGCCTCTGAGATGGACATTAGGCACAGTGTGAGGTCTCAGGACCCAAGGCCAAAGGAGACCTGGAGCTCCACTCCACACCTATGGGGAGTCCGAGCAGCTGGAAGATGAGAAGCTGAAGTCCAGACACTTGCCACCTCCTAAGCCCCCCACACATGCTGACGGCACAGACTTGGCCTCAGATTCCCTACCTAGACCTATGTGACATCCTGATCCCATCCCTATCACTGAGTGTCCCATAATGCAGAGACTGAGACATTACACAGCAGCCCCTCTTACCCTCAGGACACACTCCAAACCCGTCTCAGATCCCTACATCCAGGTACAGTCCTAAATCCTATACAAACTATGTTTTCCCACATGATCTCTTACTGATGATAAAGTTTCTTTTAAAAATTAGGCACAGCAAGAAATTCACAACTACTGAGGTTAAGAACAATTATTCTGTAGTAATAGTTATGTGGATATGGTCTCTTTCTCTCAAAATTAATGTATTATACTGCTATTTCCTAACTAGTATTTTTAGATCATGGTTGGCCATGGGTAATGAAAACCTCAGAAAGTGAAACATGGATAAGGGAGTGCTGGTACTGTCTGCTGTATCTGGCACATGCTGGCTAGACCTGTACATGTGGTTGCTAGTGTTATGATAATATTGTCACTCTGCAGTCACACAAAGATCGACTGAGCCAATGATTCAAATGCTCAGCACTCATGATAAAGTCTGATGAGTAATGTATTACAATTACAGCATTATAATAGGCATATAAAATGCTATAATACAGCATAATGTATCAAGTAATCAATAGTACTAAATTGCATTTATTGAGCACTATGTGTGTATTAGCTGTTTCAGCTTAGCCCTCAGAGGCACATAGAGACTGAGAAGTGTATGCCCAACTCACATAACCACATGCATACAGCACCGGGAAAAGAGGCCAGCCGCCCGGGCTGCAGCATTCTTGCCACTGCTGAAAGCCCAGATAGTCGGGCAGGTCACCCTGAGGCCCACACCCTGCAGCTTGGTGTCTAACTTCCCCACAGCTTCAGTCTCAAACCACCTGCCCTTCCTTTGAAGCCTCTACTGGGCCTTCAATCTGTGTGTCTACTTGAATTTCTATTTTCAGCCGTCCATGTCCCTCATTGTGTAAAGATCCCTTGGTTGCCATGAAACACTAGGCCTCACCCTTGAAGGGGAGCCCCTTATTTCTGGAATCTGGTCAAGGAGTTCAGATTCCCCTACCTAGGGGGGTTTGGAGTTAGTCTATTTCTAGCTAGGTTTTGCTTTTAAAGTCCGAGGAATTAAAATACAAACAGTAGTTTCCAAATGCTGTTGAGGGTTGCAGGACTGTGAGTGCCCTCTCCCACAATGGAACTGGAGCTCTGCTTTGATCTGTTTTGTATACCTAGGTTTCATCTGGAAATGGGTCTTATTTGAAAAGATGTTAGAAACCACTAAAAAGTCCTAAAATGCTTAGAATTTCAGAGCATATCCTATTAAAGGAATGCTTAGAAACCTAGTTTCTGTCTTTTCTTTCTTAGAGTGAAAAATGAGGGCATCTGGGTCCCCCACTGCCCCAGGCTTCATGATATCCCCAGAACCTCCTGGGCACAGGCCTGGGGTCAGGGAGTCTCCATCTCCTTCTTGCTTACTGGGCCTATCCTATTATGCAGATCCACGGCACCATCCACTCTCACTAAGAACACACTGCAAGGAAAAATTGGCTCTCAGGTAGATCAGGACCATGTTGCACTTAAAATTCCCACCAACTATTGTCCAGCTTCTGGTGTCTTCCAAAGTAAGCAAATCCCTACAGTAACATAGTGAACTATTATGGATGCCTTCTAGGGAACAGGGAGCAGTGGGCAGCAAAGACAGACAGACAGACTTCTAAAGAACCTTACCTGCTTCTCGATGAATGCGTTTATCCTCTGTAGCATTCCCTCACAGGTGAATTCATACGGCATGTATGGCTCAATCTGCAGAAACACATAATGGCACCATGAAAGAGGATGACACAGGACAGCTGAGCCTTACCAGACCCCTACTCACTCCCTCCATCTACAGGCACTGATGCCTGCCTGAAGCAATCACCGGAAGGGTTAAGACAACAGCCTTGGAAGTCACTAGACAGGGCTCACCATCTCACTGCTCTTCCCTCAGTGAAGACCAGAGAAAACCACCTACTGTTTCCTAGACTCACACACCTTGTCTGTAAAAGGGCTATAAGAAAAAGGGAGTGGGTATCATTTAGTAGCAGCTAACCTCCATGGGGTGAAGGCTATAGCTGTAACCTTTTGTCTGTCATGCTGAGCACATGTAGGACACATGTAGGAACTTAGCAGACATCTCTTCAATGAACGCACGACCACTCTGAGAGATGCACATAATGAGATGTTTAAGGACCCACGAAGCACTGGCAGAAGCACTGGTCTGTATCAGTAGTGAGATCAGAGGGGGCCAAAGCACTTGTACTATGAAAGCAAAGTCCAAGTGTCACAAGGAGTTGGGCGAGATGGCTCTGGTAGGCCAGATGGTCAACAGTGACTTCTGTTCATGCTGGGCTTTTAAAGCCAGTGATGAGTCTAGAAAGTCAAGACCAGGGAGGGCCAAGATATGGAAGACATTCTGGCCTGATGGAATACTAAGAGATCTGACAAGAAAAGATGGAGGAAACAGCAGCTCAGGATTGTGAAGTGTCGTGAGACAAGGGAGGGAAAGACAACTGCTGGATTTCCACAAAGCCTTGAGATTTCTATATTGAGGAATCTAGATTTTCAGGGCAGCAGGAAGGTGCTTCATGGGGGTAGGTGAAGATACCTGACTGATACTGTGATATTGGAGAAAAAGGAAAAGAAACACAGGCTACACAGTATTTGCCAACACTCTGAGGCCTGTTTTTTCAAGGTTGTACTGATACGAAATGGAAATTTCATTTGGGAGAAAACCACCTACAATCCCATTTGTTACAGCTGTTGAAAACCCAACAGCATCTGTCAGTGTCAGGGAAAGGGGCAGCCCCACCAGTTCCTTCTTACACCTACACTTCTCTGAATCCACAGCGAGGGAACTGGACAAGCAGGCCTGCTGCAAATGGGACAATCAGCAGAGGGGGCATTCCCGGTGGGCAGCCAGGTAACTGGGGGGCTTGGGGCTCCCACTCCCTTTTTCTTCTGCTGAGTCACACGTTATGTTTGAAAACTTAGGCCATGCTATCAAAGAATTTGATAGTATATCTTTAAATACACAACCAGACACAGTCAGCATCATGAAGGCTGGATCTCAGCCACATCCATCCACATCTGTCCAGAAAGAGCTAGAAGAAGCTGAGCTGGAAGTACTGTCCTGAAGAGGAGAGGCCAGCACTCATTTCTGAAGAGCAGCCTTTCACAGTCCCAGCTTGCTCCTTCCCAGTTCAGCCTTTTGTACCTGCAGCCCCTCTCTGACCTGGACATAGCTCTTCATACAAAATGTACACTTTCTTACAAAGAACACTTACTCAGGCCATGGGCAGCTCTAGAAGCTTTCTATAAATGGCCTAGACGTACGTCTCCTTTCAAAGGTTTACAGAAGACACTAAAGAAAGCCATCTAAAAGAGAGGACATGGTATATCTGGGTTTGCTTATAAACTGAGTAGAATTTCCAGAGTGGAATAAACATACACTGGCAGGCAGCTGTCATGAGACCAGCAGACTCAGTTCCTTGGCAGAAAGTAGGCTAAATTCCCAGGGTCATTCTGACAACATATTTCGAAGGGTGTCCACAGAAAACACAGAAAATTACAGGACATTTAAAGAGCTCACTGTAGCAAAATGTTCTTCTTCTATTCTACTATCTACACCCAATTTAATCAAAAGGACATGGACTCATTCATGGATCTGAGGCAATTTTACTCTTTTTAGACAGACAATTTTTCTGTAAAGAAAAAGCAAACAAAACAAAACAAAAAGAAGTGAAACAAAACACAACAGTATGTTACTGTGCTTCCAATGAGTCCAGCTAGCCAACTAACCATTGTGCCCTGGGTGGGAGGAGGGCCTCCTGCTTGGGAAGACTCTCTGGGAGGTAAGATGAAGCACTTTTCTGTCCAACAGTCATTCAGGAACAAGCCAAGGCCTCTTTGAGATACTGAATGAAAGAGAAGGCCGAAACCATATCCAGTCCCTGAAAAACCCAAGTGGAGAAGCAAGGATGCCTTGCTCCTCACCAGGCTTTGTGGAAAAAGAGCCCCTACTTATCCGGGCAGGCCTGCAGGCAGGGTCCCTGCAGGCAGCAAAGAGGAGTTTGTGCTGGCCCTGGAAACTTTCCATGAATCCATATTCTCCAACATTTCCTCTTCCTGACTGTCCTGTGTCTACTGGAAGCCACTCCTTCCCAGGTCAGGAGGTGATTCTACAGGGAACTGCCCTTGAAGGTCTGGTCAACCCTGAATGGTTCTACCCGACAGGCATGGTTTGGCCTCATCAATGAGGGAGAGTCTCAGAAAACCTCCATTTGGAGTCAAGGTTAGTAAATAGAGATTTACTTACAATAGAATTTAGGGTTAGGGAAATCTTGTAATTTCCCTTGACAATTCCAAATGTACACTAGGTCATGTCATCCTTCTGTTTAAAGGTTTTTGCCATACTTAAAAATTCAGAATTCCTAAGCTGCCTATTCAAAGGCCTACATATTCCAGCTCTTGGGGATCCTTTTACTGTTTCCTTTATTTTGGATGAGAAGTTGGATATGTTTCACACCATTATTATCCTGAGTGTAATAAATTTTTCTTTGGCTACTTTCAAGAATTTTTTCCTATTTTTGCTTTCATCATTTGATTATGATGTACCTGAATTTTTTTGTGTTTTGCTTTTTGCTCTTTATCCTGGTTAGGTTTACCATGCTCCTAGGATCCATAAATTAATCTCACTCATTATTTGAAAAATTATTAGCTAATACCTTTTCAGTTATTTCTTCTGTGCTATTCTCCTTCCCTTGTGAGTTTCTGGCTATACCTAAGTTACCTGATATTATCCCATGGACATCACAGACTCTTTTGTTTCATTTCCTTTTCTCTTTGCATTTCAATTTGGATAATTTCTATTGAAACATCTTGAAGCTCTCTCATTTTTTTCCTTTTGCTGTGAGCAGTGTGATGAGAAGTCCACTGAATGAACTTCTAAAATTAGTTCATTTTTGATGTTGTAGTTTTTATTTCTAGCATTTACCATTTGGCTTAAAAAAATAGCTTCTATCTCTTGGCTGAAATTTCCCATCTGTTCACATATTTTGTACTTTTTTCACTAAGTTGCTGTCAGATAATTCCAGCATCTGAGCTATCCCTCAGCCTGGCTTTACTGACCTGGATCTCTTTTTTTCCTTAGGGATTTGAACCTAGAGCCTTTGCATTGAGCTATATCCAGCTTTTTTTTTTTTTTTTTTTTTTTTTTTTTTTTTTTTTTTTTTTGAGACAGAGTCTAAGTTGTCCAGATTGTACTTGAACTTGTGCTCTCCTTACTTTGCCCTCTCAGAGAGCTGGGATTACAAGGATAAACTACCACAATATTTTTTTCTCTCTTGAAAGTTAAGTCATGTTTTCTTTTAGTTTTTTCCTGAATGTCATAATTTACGATCTTGGAACTATGTGTGGGAAAGTTCAGCCCTAAATTGCTGATCCATTTCTAACAAGTATAAAGATTTTTATGACAAGTTTTTATATTAATCTCATTGCTTACTCCATTCTTTCCCTCTTTCGCATTCTTTTCCTTTACTCTGTTTCATGCTTTTCTTTTCTTTTTAAAATCTGTGTTATCTTAACAACTAAACTCCTGAATTTAAATCCAGGTTCTTCCTGATGGGATCTTATGTAAACTGGTTACCTTCTGTAAGCCTTAATTTTCTCATCTATTAAGATGACAATAATACAGAATTGCAGAAAAATTAAGATAAAGCTTGTAAGTAATGTGCACTACTAACAATTTTTAAAGTGGCCTTAAATACTTTTCATAATAATGTGGCATAAAGTTGGATAGGGTTTTAATTTAACCATGAAGCATGAGAGGTTGCACAGAGTGAACAGAACAAATCCATGTGGAAGTGACTATACAGAACTAAGCCCTCATGCTTGGGGTTCATACACCAGAGATTCACCTTGGATTCTGGTTTGGCAAAGTGATCTGTTACATAGAAAGTTCTGCGTTCCTTAATCCAAAGTGTGGTACCTCTACTCAGGTTTCAAATTAAAAGGGCATGTGTACTTAACTAAGTGTTCTGGGTAGGCTGAATTGCACCTCCTCAAAAGATATGCTGAAGTCTTAATCTCCAGTACCTTGAATGCGCATTACTTGGAAGTAGGAGCTCTGCAGATGTAATTAAGATGATACAACGCTGAATTCAAGTGGGTCCTAACCCAGTGTAAGAAGAGGAATAACAGCGACACAGGAAGAAGGCACATGATGGAGGTAGAAATTAAAGCTCTGAGGTGGCAAGTCATGGAATGCTTGTAGCTGCCAAAAGCTAGAATACCCTTTTATAAGCAGGGGATACATTCTAAGACCCCTGGTGGGTCTGAAACCAAGGAACAGTACTCAGCCCTTTGCAACAAATACTGGGATAGCACAGGAGTTGATCTGATAATTGAGATGAACGCTAAGTAAGTTAACCAGAGAGGATAGCAAATATGGCGTGGATACATTACACAGAGTGCTGATTCAAGTCCCAGATGAGATTCAGTCGGACAGCACAAGATTTCATCATGTTCCTCTGGATAAGGACCAGTTTAAAATGTATGACACAGCCGAATGGGGTAACAAGTGCCTGTAATCCCAGAACTTGGGAGGCTGAGGCAGGAGGATGGCTGTGAGTCTGAGGCCAGCCTGGGCTACATAAGTGAGATTAAGACTAGCCTAAACTACAATTTTATGTATATTGGTTACCTGCTGTAAGCCAAGTATGACTGTATTTCTTGAATTTCCCCTTCAATGTTTGGGACCATTACTGACTACAGAAAATGAAATCTCCAATATGAGTGGACTATTTTCCTCACTTGTAGTCTCCTAAGGGAGGATGATCCTGCAGACATCTTGATTTCAGGCATCTGTCTTCCCAGAATGAGAGGTAATGTTTTTGATGTTTAAGCTACCCAGAGTATTCTAGGTAACTTATGAATACACCAAGGGTCTTGGGGATTCAAAAAAGAAGAGCCAGACATGGTGGTGAATGCCCGTTACCAGGGAAAGGGCAGCAGGATGGGACATTTAAGCCTGGGCAGAGACTTAGGGAGATGATGCCGCAAAATAAAAAGGGCTGGCAATATAGCTCAGTGCAAAGCCCACAGGCCCAATCGTCCCTACTGAAACAGCAGCAGCAGCAGCAGCAACAAACACAAGAGATCATTCCATGTCAGGAATGACACCCGATGGTGCAGCTGAGGCAGCCCGGTGCCACAGTCCGCTAGACGCTTCTATGTGCTGTCACCTCAGGTTGGGCACTTAGGCCAGGCACTGTGGAAGCTGGCACTGGAACTGCAACTTATTAATGGAAAGCTGACAGCCATATGCCAGATCCTACTTTAAGGGGACAGGGCATGAATAATGCTTCAGAGTGTGCTTGTTGCCCTGGAAATGCTAAGAATTAATTGAAATTGAGTTATGCACTGGGCCGCAAATGGGTTATTCCATTTTATTTCCAAAGGGAAACATGGCTCTTCACAGGGGCAACCTGGTCATTCTTCCTAAGATGGATCTCTATCTTGTTCCGCTTTACACCATGCCCTGAATCCATGCCCTTAGTTTTGGTTTGCGAACTCTTACTTACCCTAGAAGGCTTAACTCACAGTGAAGTGTTTTCCAGAAAGCCTCCTACTTTTACCCCTATATTTTCTGTATGGTACTTATGGCATAGACAACCTCTGCTTTGTGTTATATCTATGTGCTGGTATGGAAACCTCAATGCTTCTCTCCCTTCTTTCTATTGTCCATCTGTTCATCCACTCATCCATCCATCCGGTAGACCACAATGGTGAGGCATACTTAATGGGAATAAAATAGACAGATATACTTGTTGCCCTTATGTTCCTTAGAATCTAGTGGAACTCAGGCTATCAACTAATAAACATGAATACTTAAATGTTAACTGGACACTATGTGGTAGACACTTTACTTAAATATAACATATATATGATCTCAGTTAGTCTGCATAAGTGACTAATAAGATAGGTAATATTAGCTACATGACAGATGAGGGAATGTTGCTAGAAACTAGAACCCAAATCTAGTGTGCGTGAATCTTGCCCACCATTATGTATTGTGTATACGCTTCTCTTAAAATGTTATAACCAAGTATAAAAAATGTTCTAGTAAGAAATACAGGGGCAGGTTCACCAAAAAGAGTTCACAGCAGTCTTGGATAACTAATAGCATCCCCAGAGGGCAGTAAACTTGCTACAGAGGGAGCCAGACTCAACTATGTCTGTGGAAGTAAACAACCCTTCTCTTTCCAGGGTGTCTCAAAAGACACATTCTGTACACTGTAGGAGCTTAACAAATGTCTGCTAAATTGATCAGGACAGGCCAGAAAAGTTAGTTACCTTTACAAGAGTCTACCAAATACTCATTGTAGAAAAATCAAATAAACAAATGTCCTACAAAAACCTTTCCCATAGCTACCTCTATCTGTGTTTGTGGGGAAAGGAAAAGAAGCAAAGCTATCTTTTTAAATTTCTATAAGTGTCACAATTAGATCATGAATGAAGTAAAATTCAAGTGCCTCTTCCCAATCTTGTGACCCAGGAGTCTTGTCAAAAGGTTCTGTAGAACCCACGCCCATGCCTGGATGCCAGTTCCATTTTCCATTTCATGAAACATCCAAGAAGCTGCCAGGCCAAATCCTACAGCTTTGGCTATTTCTAGCTTCAGCTAACGTGGGAAAGCACCATTATAGAATCCAAGGGCCTACAGTCCCTGTGAATCCACATGAAACTCCTGAAGGGCATCTGAAAGTTATTTGGACTAGGATAGGTTAGTGGTAGAGAGCATGCTTAGCATGGCCAGAGGCCTGACTTCAGTCCCCACTATACTTGCAGGTCACTTTACAAATGGGGTGAGAAGAGGTGAAATAAAAGATACAACCTTCTGATTTAAAATTGCTTTCACTGCATCCTCTACTTCCTCCTGATTGTTGAGATCAACAGTCCAAACATGTGGCCGGCCAATGAAAACTTCAGCGTAAGGATGCTGGGATGTCAGCTGGAAAAGAGAAACACAATCTTCAGTTTCACAGATGATGAAATTTTTTTTGAAAAACCGTCAGTGCTGGATGGAGCATTATGCTGTTTTAATGGTACTGAACTGTATCCGTGTAGCTAACAAGACATTTCTCTCTTTCTCCTTGACAATGATAAACCTAAGTAAACAGCAAATAACAACAAAAAGTGATGGTTCCATATCCAGAATTCCATTTGCAAATAAGAAAATGTTACAACTACATGACAGGTGGGTTTGTTTGTGTGTGTGTTGCTGGAAATGGAACCCAAGAACTATGCATGCTAAGCAGTGGCTTTGAATCCCGGTGAACATTTACTCTCAGCCATAACCAGCTGTGTGGGCCTCAGCCTCCTCCTCTCAGGTTCCTCTCCTGTTCTCTGCTTCCTGGAGTTGAACAGCTTTCTTTTACCATGCCTTTCCACCACATTTCTACCTTGAGCCAGAGGGCTACAAGCTGAAACCTGAAACCTGAACCAAAATAACCCTTTCCTTCTTTGAGTTATGTTTGTCAGGTCCAGTATTTTGTCCTAGCAGTGGAAAGCTGACCAGCATAGCCCTGAAAATCACCTAGATCAAATCAGTATCAGTTATCCCAGCTAGGACAGACAGGTAAGCATAGAAAATGGCAATAAAAATCAAGGTTGTAAAAGTTGTAAGAGGATAAATAATAATACATACAAAAAGTGACAGAAAGAAAAATGATACCATCAGAAAAACAGAACTTTTTGAATGGTTTCAGGAATAATCATTAGGGTAACACTGGAGCCTGAAATTTATAAAAGTAATCTGTAAGCAGAAGAGCTTAACGTCAGCAGTTTTTAACCTAAAAGAGGTTTTGTTTTAAGAACAAAGTGTTGGCAAAGATATCAAGCATGCATATTGGCAATTGAGTTCATCAAGAAGCCGTTCTTTGAACTGAATCAATTAAACAATCGGGTCTCCACTTTTATCCTTGTACCTCTTTAAGACAGTGGTGAGTACATTTCCAGCTTCCACAATGGCTGAGGTGCTGCCCTTAGCCTGTGGGTGGGGACCAGGGACACATGTCATCCAATGATGCCCAAGACAGTTGTACATAAAGCATGACCTATTTCTCAATTTTTTTTTTTTTTTTTGTTTTTTTTTGTATAGTGGGAACTGAAGTCAGGCCTCTGGCCATGCTAAGCATGCTCTCTACCACTAACCTGTCCTAGTCCAAATAACTTTCAGATGCCCTTCAGGAGTTTCATGTGGATTCACAGAATCTAACTCTTTGATACAGTTTTAATGTACACTTAAAAAAATTAACATGTAAATCAAGAAATATTTGTACTCTATTTTATTTGGAACTTCACTCGTGCTGTTATCATTTTGGAAAAATCATGGCAACAAAGTCAAAACCACTCAACATATCAGACGTTAGTAAAATACTCCTTTGGTCTATATTTGTAGCTATCTGGTTGGTGTCACTTATATATGTGTGCTATGTATACACACTCCTATATTTAGCTGATCCACAATGTCATTTTCAAGTAAAAACGGCTGAAAATGTTCACTCAAATGGCTTACTTCTTTTAAACACAAATGTTCATTGTAAGGAAGGAAACGACATATCTTTTAATTCAGTTCTTAGATACACGACATTAAAATATGCATTCCTTTATTAGGAAATTTTCCCTTTTATTTCTCCTTTATATTAGACTAATGAAACAAATCTTCTTTTGAGATTAGCCATGTAGGCAGGTTATATTCACAAATTTCACTTCAGGAGAGAAAACGCCACGACTAATGTTAGACTTTAGAAAAGGAGCTGCTGGCTCTGGAAAGGCCTCTGCTCCAGGGGCCCAACTGGCCCTTTTTGCCTTTGCTCCCTCAGCCTCTGACACAGATGTGTATGCCCAGAGGGTTGGAGGACTGGATCAGCACTTCCCTATTTTGCTCTTATCCTTCGTTCCTGGTATCCCACTGTACCAGTGGCTAAATGTACTACTCAGGGCAGAAAAAGTAAAGCAGAGTCCCTGAGCCTTTGCTGCCAACCATGCAGGCTCACAAGGAAATCTACCATCCAGGGCTGTAGGTGACCGCAGTGTCTGCTCCTGCTTGCCCTGCTTCCGGGTCCCTCACCAGCTCCTCCTCCTGACACATCCCTTCTTCTTGTGCTCAGTTCTGTGGTCAGTGAAGGAAGCTGCAGACAATTCACAGCCCCCAGAGCTGTGGAAAGGTGTCTTTTGTTTTCTCTGTGCATATTTTAACTCACTGAATATTAATGAAGTCCCCTGTTGGGCCAGGCATCATGCTAATCACCTGCACATACATAATTCATCCGATTTTCTATGTATCCACAAGGATTCAGAGGTTCAGAGGGGTTTACATTTCCTCAAGGTCACACAGTCAAAGAAAGTAGCTGAGTCAAGTTCAAATCAAGATCATTCAGCAAGGTTATTTCTGGACGAAAAAGGAAGATGACAATTTACAGGATGCCACTGAGCTCTTAAGAAAAGACAAAAGCATTTTAATCACTCTCTTAAAGCTAATAAAAAAAAAAAATTCCACGACGGAATCTGTGCCGGCATTAGACTTTTTCTGAAGATGCAGAAAATGTCACATTACTTTTATTTTGTAGCCTGGGGAACAAACTTAATTAGTTCTTTCACAGGAATCAGGGTAAATTAACGTTGCCATCAATGGTACTACTTAGTAATTCATACATTAGCAGCAGTCTTTTTCCTGTCTTCTAAGGTTCCTGCTTATTTACAAGGTTGCTCTAAGCATTTAGAAAATATAAAATGCTGAGCCATTATCATTTATTCATTTACATTTATTGAGTATTGCTTAATTTTATGAGGCATTCTGTGATTCATTAGCCCCCTCTGAATATTATGCTCCTCCTTGTTAATTTATTGAGAACTGTCTGATCTCCGCTACTTCATTGTATATCAATCAGAAAATATACTGGAGTATAGTTTGTAAAAGTAATGAAAATCTTATTAAATATGAGACATTATTTCAGACTGACTATTAAATCTCCAAGGGGAACATTAGTTTTCTTTATGGACAAAACCCCCTGAAGCCAGAGAATTCTTAACGGTTTACAAAATGTCAGAAGAATGATCAGGACCTTACTAATGTACTTCCCAATAAAGATAAAAATCCAATTTATATTGAAGTATATCTCTAACCATTCACACAACTTAAGGCAACATGGAACTTTCCTCTGAGTAGACACTGCAGTTTAAAAAAATTGGTTCCACGCAAAAAATAAAAAGAAAGCTAAACTCTTATTTAGAAATCTAGACTTTCTTTAAGTACAGGCAATTGATATGGATCAATTTATGTACATGAGTTGTTGCTTCACACAAAAGACTTGCATGGGCATAAAGAGAGCTTTGTGCTTACATGCACTTTTGCTAATATTTTTCCGTTTGCTGAGGAAAAACAGATAATCTGTATATCTATTAGAGCTTTGTGGTTAAGAGACTTTGGAGGCTTTAGTAAAGCAGCAGAGCAGAGCAGAGTGTGTTGGTCCACGTGGTCCTGAGATCAAAGTCACTGACCCCTCTCAACAGCTACCTGGCGTGGATTGATGGAGCTGCGTATGGATGAACTTGCCATCCTACATGAGTCAAAATGACCTTTTTGGGGTTGCCCCAATTTGCCAACACTCATGCCTTTCAAAAGAGGCTTGAAATTCTCTTTCCTTTTCAGTTAATTCTGCACATTCCCCCTCCACCTGGTGCAACTCCAAGTTAACTCCTCTCTGCATCTGCTTGGCTATTTCTTTATGCACTGCCCTGATCTGCAGCTGTCTTATCACCCTTTCATATCAGATTTGGAGCTTCTGGAAAACAGGAAATGTACTCTGCTGAGTTCTTCCAATGCAACAGCTAATGCCATGGGCCTATGGGGATATTTTAAATACCTGTCAATCACCCTTCTGCTTCTTGGCCCTCCTGTGGGAGCCCAGGACTGATGGAGTTGTCTTTGTGAGGTCACTAGCTGAATAATTATTGAAAGGATTCCACACTTTCTGCTGGAGTCTCATTTCAACATTAGTTGGAATTATCCTGCTCAGCAGCTCCAATGCCTCTTCTTTCTTTATGCCATGAAGAATGAAAACCCTTTATGACCTCAGCAAAAAGCAAATTACTAAATGATAGCAACTGACATAAAATGATGAACATATGTACTTTAGTGCTTTGAGCTATGTAACTTTACATCATTCACAGGGCAAGGGCTAGATGGTGTTTCAGAGGATCCTCAGTGTTTTTTAGGCAATGTTCAGTGTACAGAAAAACTGACCTGTATTCTTTAAAAGCATTATAGTTCATAAGTGACAATGAAAGACTAATTTTTTTTTTCTCATTGAAGAGTGAAGAAGATTAAAAGAGACACAATAATTACGTGCAACGTGGGATTCTGGACTGGATCTGGGAACAGAAAAAGAACCTCCGTGGAAAAGCTGGTGAAGTGCAAACAAAGACTGTAGTTTAAAGAACACCAGGATGCCAGTGTTAATCTCTTTATTTTGATAACTATAGTAGAGTTCTGTAAAATGTTACCACTAGGGTACGTTAGATAAAATTCTCTATTTTTTTTTCAACTTTTCTGTATAAGTATTTTAAAATATAAACAAAAAGTAAAATTTAACAATTCCAATTGTAGGTATATACCCCAAAGAACTGGAAGCAGACACTCAGATATTTACATTCAAATGTTCATAGTAGGATTATTCACAATAAGTGAAAGGTATGCAAAACAGCCCAAATGATCATCAGGAGATGAATAGAAAACATAAACATGATATATTCATACATCAGAATATTAACAGAAAGAGATCCTGCTGCATGCTGCCATAGGGACAAACCTTTAAAACAGCATATTAAGTAAAAAAGCCAAACAGAAAATAACGGATACCATGTGATTTCACTTAGATGAAGTACCTAAAATAGACAAATTCATACAGACAGACAGCTAAATAAAAGTTACCAGGGACTGGTGGGAGAATGAGAAGTTATTATTTAATGTTTCCAGAGTTTCTTATTATGCTGATGAGTAAGTTCAGGAGACGGATAACAGTGGAAGGTGCACAGATCTGTGAATTTACTTAATGCCAGTGATTTGCATACTGAAAAAAGGGCAAATGGTTAAGTTTCAGGTGTTATATATATATATCTTTCATGAAAAGTTTAAAAAGTGTAGACAGTTACAAATATATATAGAAGTAGAATTTCAGAAATTTCGTATACTCAAAATTAAAACCTATGGAAAACACTGACATATAAATAGACATATTGACCCATTGGAATAGAAGAAAGTCCAGAAATAAACCTACATATTTATGGTTGTCCGATTCTCAAAAGGGTGTCCAGAGCCCAAAATGGGGAGGCATGTCTTGTCAATAAAGAATGCTAATAAAGCTGGATAAACACATGCAGAATGAAAGTGTATCTGTATCTCAGACATCTAAAAGTCAACTCAAAATGTACTAGATTTAAACATAAGAGACAAACAATACAAGTACTAGAAAAAAAAACAGAAAAGTTTTCTAACACGGGGTTGGGCAATAGTGTTTTTGGATATGACCGTGAAAGTACAGGCAATTTTTGCATCAAACTATTTCAGAAAGACATGGAATCAGTATACTGAAGAGGTATCTGAACCCCCATGTCTGCTGCAGCACCATTCACAACAGCCAGGAAGGTGGAATGAACTCAAGGGTTTAACAACAGATGAGTAAAAAAACTTGTCTGTTTATATGTGCCAAATAAGAGGTTAGCCTGCAAAAAAAAAAAAAAAAGAAAGAAATTCTGTGATTTTCAACAGCATGGATGAACCTGGAGGACATTGTGCTGAATGCAAAAGCCAGACACAGAAGGATGAATACTGCATGATCTCACTAAATGTAGAATTTAAAACAGTTGAACTCATCTCAGCAGAGTACAATGGTGGTTGCCAGGGGTTGGGACACATGGTGAAGGAAGATTTGTTGATCAAAAATACAAAGTATGAGTTATGTCAGATGAATAATTCTAGAAATCTACGGTTTAGCATCGTGACTACAGTTAACAATGCTGTATTGTACATTTGAAATTTGCCAACAGGGTAGTGTCGTGTGTTTTTACCACATACTCTACAACACAGATCCAGGACCTATACAAAGTGTCGGATGTGCTAATGTTGATTGTGGTGATCATTTCATAATGTTTACCAAACATTACCTTATAGTTTTTATTGTGTAAAACAATGAAACAAAACAAAAATCTAGTGATGACTAAAATCTACTTTCCATCCAAAACTCCTAAATTTCAAAGTCGTCAGTGATATGTCCAAAAGATTCCTAAACAAGGTATTTTCACTGTTACAAAGCATCTTTTAAATCTTTCCAAAGAACAAGCTCAGGTTGTGCTCCTCATCTCTGTACACTAGCACGTGCTATAGTATCTGGTGCACAGGCGGGGATTAGGTATTGTTGAGTCATTAATCAACAAACTGACATCTCAAAAAGAAACCATTCCCTAAAAGGAATAGTTTAGGTCATTACACTAGCAGAAGGAAAAAGAAAGTGAGCAAAATGCAATGAACTCCTTTCAGTGGGTATCTGGGCCATAGTTAACCTTTCTGAGATAATCTCTGGATCTTGTTGATAGTCCTCCATCTCCTTTGGCCACAGCACCAATGATGACGGGACTTAGAGAACTCTCAAAATTTTCAACTCTATAGACTGGCTGAGATTTCTGATTCATCAAATAATCATTGAAAACACATTTTACATATTAGTTGGAAGGCCAGTTCAGACAAAGTGACCCAGTAAAAGTAGCGCAACTGAATTCTTCAAAAACATTTGCTCTTATGTCATAGGAGGGTTGGCTATCAGTATAATTGCTAGCAGAAGACACTGGATGACCAGGATGGTGCTCTGACATCCCTGTTTGTGAGCAGCTTCCTGTGCCACTTACAGATACACAGAAATAATAAAATTAATCTTAAGGTTTCTTGTACACACTTGTTTCTGACCAGACACTGAAGCATCCAGCCTGATCACTCACACTAAGCTGTGAATGCTTTGGTTTACTGCCTCAAAGCAAATCTGAGTATCTTGGATGATGATTCATCACCTGCTGTGGATTTTCAAGAAGATCTTAGGAGGCAGTTCGAACAAGGCAAATGGTTTTAGCAATAGCAGGAGTAGTTCACAGGATGGGGCCTGCTGATGGTGGCCTAAAACATCAGGCACATTACTTTAGTCAGTCATGATACGTCTTATCTCCTGAGGCTCATGTTCTCTGCAAACACCCGCAGCCTATTTTTCATTCTTCAAAGCCCATGATAGAGAGTGCCCCAGCTGATTTTTTCATTCCATCAATTCAGAGTTTGGCAGAAATCAGAAAGCTAGTATGTCTGTGTTCATGTTAAAATAGTGTTGGGGGTAGAGTGAAAAGCTCCTTACTTTGTGGATAGAGATGGAGATTCAAAGGCTGGCCCTGCCTAGAGTGAGGTGATATGATTGAGTCATTCATCTCTCTTCCAAAACTCTCCCTTCCCAACTAACCATGTTAGATGAAGTTCATGCAGTTGGCTTTCTGTACATACAGGTGCCACATCTTCTAGTTTGAAAATTATAAAAAAAATTTGAAGAAATGCACCTATCTCAAACATGTGCAGGCTTCCCCCCCCCCTTGACATCATCAATACAACAGCTATTTATAAAGCATTTATAATGTATAAGAAAGCCACACATGATTGATAGCATGGAAAAATGTGTCTATGCTGAATGCAAACATGATGCCACTTTACATAAGGGGCTTGAGCATCCACAGATTTTGGGATCTGTGGGGGTCCTGGAACCAATTCCTGATGGACACTAACAGATGACTTCACCTACGAATTCCTGATGGTCAGATCTTTACTTACACTAAGACTCAATAAATTGGTATTATTTTTTCTGTGCATGTGTGTGGGGGTGGGAGAACTGGGGATGGGACCGGCTGGGGCTTCTGTATGCTGGGTAAGCACACTACCACTGAGCTACTCCCCAGCCCCTATTATTCTTCTGACTGAAAGCAGAGAGACTTTGATAGACACTTACCTCTCTTAAAGTAGGTTTGCCAATGAAAAAATCTGTGTTTTTGCTGCTTTTGGGTGGGTTGAACTTGGGATTCAGAAAAGCACATCCATTTGCAATAGCTTCCAGGGGAGCTGGGCCTTCATAAGGAAACCCAAGTCCAACAAATAACTGTAAGACAGAAAAACACACACCATATCAACACATCTGTGAAGACTGGCTCCCCGGGCTTACAAGGCTGTTCTTTGGTCCATTCCTGTGGAGACCTCAGACATTCTGGAAAGGCCCCAGGCCCTGAGGGGAGGGGAGGGTAAAGGGAAGGAGCTTATACCAAGATGGGATGCACATCATCAGGAACTGTGAAAGCCCTTATAAAGCAGCTTGGCTCACTGAAGTGGTAAGTACTGGGGCGGGGGGTGAGGAGAGTAGGGAGGTTGGGTATTTAAGGAAAAAAAGCAACAACAACAAAAACCAAGACCCAACAATCATTTTTTTGTGACTCACCAGGAGACATGACTGGGAAAACACTTGCTAAACTAAACAGAAGGTTTCTTCATTGAAGCAGAGGAACAACAGGCCCTTTCAGGGATGCTGGGCAGAGGGACAGAAAGGTCACTTGGTGGTTTGATTACTGTGCAAATGGGACTGCTGTAAAATGATGGTAGGTCAGTAAACACAGGTTTTCCTACGGGTTTTCACAGGAGAGTACTAACATCTCCGTTTTTATTTTCCCCTGGGTATGAGGGAGGCTGCTGAGCTGCTCAATCTGCTGAGCAAAGCTTCCCTCTCTAGGAGGCAAATCTCGCACTCCTCCAAGGCAGACAGTAGATGGCAGCAAAAGCTAGCTCACTGGGTCCTAAGAGCAACGACACAGCCTGGGAGCTGCTGTGACAAAGGAGAAGGTCTGTTCTTCAGCAGCACTGATTCCTGACCCCATATGAAAACAACATCCCCAGAAGTACCTTGTTGCCCAACCTGAGTACAGGAATACCATGCACTGTAGAAGGCCTGGAGGTCACTGATGGCAGGTCCAGGCCTGGGATGGGGGAAGCCTATGTCCCCCTGGCCACATTAAGGGGCCAGTTCTGAAACTGTTCCAGTATCCAGAGACACATCAGGTGACAAGGGCCGACTGGTCCCAGGACAGCATTTCCTACTGCCTTCATGTTGAGGGACACGCACACTGCCTGAGATCAGGAGGCTGCTAGACTGGATGTGGTGGTGGCTGTACTGATCCCCCTTTCCCTGGCCCCCTCCACAGCTTTACGTTAATTATTATTGAGGACAGTTCTGCTGGGGAGCACAGAAGTCCCTGGGTAACCCTGGGAGACACAGATTGCTCATGGTAGACACTCATTACTGAGGCAGTGGTGCACAGCACACATTTAAGATACTTCAGGATGACAGCACTCATGGAACTCTGGGGGAAAACCTCCCAAAAGCACAGGTGTTCTGGAGAGCCTTATCCCATTAACTTGCTTTGTCTAGAAAAAGGTACTGGACCTCTCTGATTCTTTGGAGGGATAATCTTTCATTTTCTATACACCTTGAGATCATCCAGGTAGATGCATCCAAGAGGAGGGAGCTAGAAAAAAAATAGAAGCTTTGGGAAGCCTGCTGAGCTCCTGTGCCCATGAGTTATGGGAGAACCTGGTAGTAGGAGCGGGTAGAAGCAGCAGGACGACAGAAGGAAACTTCTGTGCCTCTCAGAGGCTCCTGTGGGATATCATACTTAATATACAGAAAAGTGAGATCATCAGAGGGAACTGATGAGTACTGGTGTGGCTCAGGTAGGCCAGGTCTGATGGGAGCCAAACAAACAAAGCAAGGAGAAAGTGAGATATGCTGGTGTGATCAGACAATATGATGAATGCTTAAGAAAATTTATTATAGTAAAAACACACTGCTATTAATCCCCTCAAAATACTCTGCCTTACCCTGAACACACACCATTGTTCTTGCCACTTTCTGAAGCAAGTGAGTATCTTTTGTTGTGTTATAGTTGTCTCGATGTCCTGAATCGATTTGAAGTGTGTACCTTTTATGATCATTTTGAGCTTGGGGAAGACCCAGAGTTGCGGGGTGACAGATTCGCTGAACAAGGCTGATGAGGGTATCACAGTGCTTCCGTGAGCCTACCTTTCCACTGGATGACACTCAGCAGCAGACGCCTTGTAAAGACACTAAAGAAGACTTCCAGAATTCCTTTAAAAAGTTGCAAGAATAATAGGCTAAGTATGTTCGAAGTGTGTGTAGGGGAGTGGTATTCTGAGAAGAATTAATGGCAATATATCTTTTAGTATAATAAACTTTTAAAATTTAAATATTTACCATATGTTTCTATCACACTTTGAATAATTTCCCAAGACATAGCTTTACTCAGAATGCAGAATCTAGGGTAACCATCATGATGGCTTCTGATTTCTGTGATGTACAGTCCCTGTCATGCTTTGAGGAAGATACTCCACCTTTCAAGGGCAAAACAAATCACCTCTGTCGAACTATGTTTAGGCACAGAATAGGAGTATCCACATCTTTCTGACTTTGAAAAAAAGGGTTCAAAAGATACAGACTGGGCTTCTGTGTATTTAGGCAGGGATCTGGGGCCTACAGAGTTTTCTGACCTCCGGAAATCAGGAGTCTATCATGAAGAGGCAATACCTTCATCAACTCTAAATTGTCAAGAGAATTTTGGTAGAAATGGAAGAGGCACAATGCTTGTCTATTTAAATAGAAAATCCTGGGGAAAAGTTTAATTAGCTCCTTCAAGTCCAACCAATCTGAACCCATTAATTAAAAATATTTGAGACTGTTGCTTAATGGACTTGAATGTGACCTGGGTTTAATTATATATGAATAACTTGTACCAACTCCTCTGCCTTGCTGGACCAGAATATCTCAGTACATAAACACGTTGGGCTAACTCGCCCAACTCTCACAATTTTATAAGGATGCTCAAGGAAATACTACACAATTTCTTGGCAATGAGTTCTCTTGTCAAACTAATTAGGATGACAGGAAATGCATGGCTTGGAAACACCAAAATAACAGGTTTCTGTCACTTTTGTCAATAAGCAGTTTTTCCTTGTTTCTAGTATACTTACTACCTGTGACTTACAACGGCACAGATGTGTTAAGGTCAAACAGCACAGCTGAGGGTTGGATGACAACAGGGCAGGCAGGGCAAATTCACCACCTCCAACTGTAAGCAAACCAAGGGCTTTTCTCCTGATACCCAAAGCCCCAGATTTCCTTGCCTTGGCTTCCTGCCTACTTACAGATGTTCCTAGCACAGATTTACAAGACCACGTGGCAAAAGTGCACTCAAGCACCAACGTTTAACTCCTTAGGGGAAAACTGGTCATGTTTTTATTTACTACATTTATATTCTGCCTGGCCCTCAGAAGCCCAGAATCTAATGTTCTAGATGAGGGAACATTTCCATGGCTGCAATTCCAGTTCCAGCAAGGAGCATTTCTAAACAAGGGGTTATAGTTCTAAAACTGAGATTTCAACTAATACTAAGCAAAAGAGAAACAGATGAAGCACCATGTTTTATTCACAGTACAGGACTGGGACATCCTGACACATAAACAAAGAGATCAGTAACATTCAGATCTTTTTTCCCTAACAGAATTTTTCTAAAGCCCTAAGTGAAGTACTTAGCAAAAGTTCTGTTAAATATGGACAAAGTAGTTCTTTTATGAATCCTGCATGGGTATGATTAGCTTCGGGACCTCATCCATAGTAGGTGTGCACTCCACTACAGTCCCAGGCCACTTTCATTACAATCCTCACTTTCAATGTGGAATATCAAGAATAATCCAAAATAGGACACATCCATATTTAAAGTGTACTTTTCTAATGATTAGTCAAGTTGTGGGGAGGCTCAGGAGGAAGTGTGAGCAACAAATGAACCCCAGCATATCCAAGAAATTGACTACTGGGACAAAGTGATCAAAACAAGGTAGCTTTGACAGCACAGGCTCTGCAGTCTTGGAGACCAGGGTTCAAATCCTGTGCCATGAGTTCCGATGCCATGAGTTCCTAGTATAGTAACTATGGCAGGCTGACGCTATGTGCTCTCTAAGGCTTACTTACGTTTTCTGTAGTGACGAGACCCAAGCCAAGATAATGCAAGTTCTCTAAATTTCAGTCTTCTTGTGTGTAAAATGGGGAAAACGAAAGTGCTTTATTTCATGGAGATATGGCCGGATTAGGTGAGAAATATCCAGTGCTCAAAGGCTTGGCCCTTAGTAAACATCTGATCAACAGTTGTCCACATTCAAATCCCGCTGCAACTTCACACACACATACTTCATGATCTTTCATCATTTAGCAAGTACGTCCCTAAACTGGTATGTGGGAGTTATTTTTGTGTAAAATATGTGTGACATATTTTACAAAATGTCCAAGTTGTATGTGTATTTATAAACCTTTCATGGTTGCAGAAAGTACCTGGTTTAAAAAGGGGTGAGACCTTCATCAGAAGACAGATATGGTGTGGTTCATCCATCAGAGAAAGACTAGTCCTATGAACCACATGTTACTGATAAGCCTCAGTAGCTCATTCTTCCTATGATCACTGGCAATTACTCTGTTTCTAGCAACAGGTATTGCTTTTATTTTGAAAAAGAACCCATAAAATGGCTGGGCATGCAGAAAAGTTTATTTGCCTCCCAAGTGATGCTCTGGTAAGTGTGAAGGATCCTGTCTGGCCAAATGTCTGTGCTCAGGCACCTGATGCAGCAGGATGCTGAAGGACTCAGATCAGCTGCACCTTCTCTCAGGCTCCACAAGCCCCTGCCTCTTGCTTTCCGAGGACTGAATAGGGAAGCACTAAGAGGACTGAGGACAAAAAGATGACAATACTTATCAAGTGTTTTGAAGGGCACAACGCTGGTCAAAATTGGCTGCTTAAACTGACCATTTCCGGGACACCAGTTCAGTGGACAGACTCGTGACTATTCATGCCACTTACCTCAGAGCTCTGTGAGAAATGTACTGTACCAAACCAAACCAAATTGAACCAAACCAAACACCACAACAAACCCCACCAATGCCATCAAGATTGAGTTTTTGCATTTTTGTCATTTGAACGCCGCAGAAGTAAATCAAAGGCATTACAATTTGTGTGGTCAATTCATTAACTTCAAAGTGGGGGCGTAAGAGAACATTTAGACAAACTTAAACCTGAAGATGTCAGAGACTTTCACGCTGGCCAATCCGGAGGTTCACCATTAAAAGTCAATTCTACTGTCTCCTTCTTGGACCACTCCTTTTTCACTCTAGTTCACACCTTTTTCACTCTCAACTCACCACAGAGAGGCAGCACACAGACTTATTTTGAAGCCTCAGTCTTGGCTCTAGGAAAATGGGGGTTGTCATGGTATCAAGATCACAGGATTTTTGTGATAAAAATGGAATTTATGAAAGAGCTTAGTAAAGCATCTGGGGCTTGATAAATGTGGACAGTAAAGTCCACAGTCACGTGTAACATCCTTAAAGTTACCTGTTTACATTCTCCAACACATCTGTGTTCTCCCTCTGGTCAAACCTACCTGAGTCTTCCCTGTATGCTCAATGCTTACAATAAGGGCTGAAACATATCTAGAATTTAATATATATTTGGTGGATGAATTAATAAAAGCATAAGAACTAAGGAATTAGAACTTTCTAGCAATCAAATGTCTTTGTGCTCTACAGGGAGTGAGAAGGGGTATGTGGGGATGTGCTTTGGCTTTGGAATTCAGAGGGCTTACTGATTCAGACCCCTGCACACTACACTCTCTGGCCTGCAGATGTGAGGAACATCAGTCAGATGGAAGCACGAGCTACCTGGAGCTTAGCACCCTTGCTGAGGAGATCTAAACCAACTGGACACATGACTCATGAGAACACAAATTCACTAGGAGGAGTATGGTCCTAAGATTCCAGATGCCAATGGGTTTCATCTAGATTCCTTTCTTCATTCTGCAGTTAGAGGCTGGAATTCCCTATCTGAAATACTCGGGGCCAGAAGTGGTTCAGATTTTGGAGTATTTATATGCATATGAAGTATCTTGGGGATGAGACCAACATCTAAACATGAAATTCACTATGTTTTACATACACCTTATAAACATAGACAAAAGTAGTTTTACATAATATTTTCAGCATGACTATGTTTTTACTGTGACCCAAAATGTAAGGCTGCTATGGAATTTTTTTATTGTAACACTGTGCCAGCACTCAAAAAGTTTTGGAATTGGGACCATTTTGCATTTCTGATTTTTGGACTGATGATGCCCAAAGTCTACAAGCTAGGCACTCTTCCAGGACTGGAAATATACCTGTGAACCGAAAAGCAAATCCCTTCTAAACTCATGAAGCAATGTGGAGTCTGGCTCCAGAGCCAGTAAAACTTCAAAGCCCAGGCTTTGAGGTTTCAAAATCCATCCATGCCCAGTGGGAAACACCAGAGCTGACTGCTTTCAGCGTGTGTGTGTGTGTGGGGGGGGGGGGATGCAGGTGAGGGCAAGGTGAAGACACATGATGTAGGCAGCAGACACTGCACATCTGCCTGTTCAGCTCTCCAGATAAATTGACATGGCAGGGAGCCAGGATCCTTAAGGCCCACCAAAGTCTTGGAAGAGGGAATGCTAAGGTGTTTGGATAGAGAAAAGACCAGGTGCAGCATAAGCAATAGAAGCAGCTTCTCCACCTAGATCACAGCCAGAATCTGTGCTTGACTGCAGAAAGGAAGGTAACGGATCTAGCTCAAAAGCCACAGGTCCAGCACCTTCCCACCCCTGTGTAGGATGCCAATGACATTGAGTAAGGAGCAATGACATTAAGTAAGGGAAGACATGGGGAAAGAGACACAAAGTTGCAACACGAGGCAAAGAAAGGGACCACATTACAAGAGATGGAGATTTAAAGCAAAAATAAACAGACATCACCCTGATGAGTCTTGATTTGCTGGTTCCAACTGTACTTCTGGACTTTGCTGGACTGAATGGTTCATCTGTGGTCCTACGATAAACAACTCATCTGTCCAAATTTATGCCCCAATTAAAAGGGTCTTCTGAAGTCCAATGACTTCCCAAATCTTCTAGCTGCAATTGTAGCATAATTCTCCTGCCCCCACAGGCTCCTTTAAGCAAGTCTGTTAAAGATACCTGGGTCCTTAAGGAGAGACTAGCACAAAATTCTGCTGAGCAGAGGGTTTCCTGAGCTTGGTGCAGAGATTCAAAGATGGCCCATAAAGAAAAAGAATGAGTTTGAATCTGACTAAACATCTATTATCTTGCTATGTCTGAATAGCTCTTGAGGAGACCCACTGGCTTTCCTCTCCAGTAAGGAGTCTAAGGAGCCTGTGAATCTCATTCATTCCACAGAATGAATTTGCTCCTAGGCAGCACCCCGCAATGTGGATTGGAGGAAATCAGTTTTAAATTGCTCAGAGACACAGAAGAAGGCGTTAAAAGCAGAAATGGTTATAAATGCAAAGCCTGACTGGTCTTTTGTTTTATTATTTGAAATCCCAAGATTCATTCATTTTGCTGCCTGCTGCCTTGTCCTGGTGTAGTAGTCTTGGTGATACACTACCTCAGGCCCATCATATTTACCAAGTGTCTAAAACATAATTTCACTCAGAGTACTTTAATATATGCTTGTCAGATAAGCAGGCACCAGGTAATGGGATTGGTGACATCTTCAGAAGGGTTCCTCGTTTTCAAGGATATATGCCCCCGGTGCTCAAAATTCCAGCTGCACTCCTTGGTTAGTCTCTGGCTTTGGGACAGGGGCCTAATGGGTTTCTCTTCTTGTCTTCCCCTGGACATAAGCTTTGGCCTATTTCCCATTTGCTGACAGGGAAAGTGGAAGGCAGGTAAGCAAGGGTTCTTTTAAAATTTGCAAGGCTGAGCAAGACATTCACAAGGCTGGGTTAACAGAAGCATTGAGACAGTAATGACACGATGCTGAAAACCAGTTCTGCCAAACGTTATTTTAAAGGAGCTTGAACTTTTTTCACACACTCGTGCAGAGAAAAGTAAAATGAGGAAAATGGCAAAAACCAGCCCTGCTGTTAAAGGGCCTGGATACACTGATGATTCTAAATTGTCAAAAGAAGACAAAAGGTGATGGGAAGGAAAGTGGTGAAACTGGGACACGTGTTCTCCTGAAGGATAGTTGTAAGACTATATATGACCTTGAAGGAAATAAAATCTTAATTAAAACAAAGCAGGTCATTGGCCAAAGAGTTAAAGAACTTCTCAAACTGTTTTAGTCATGGCACCACACAAATGACTTGGTGGTATTGACAGATGGAGAAACTGAGGCAAAAGGGAGATAAGCATTCTTTTGGCTGGTTAGTGTCCACTAAGTGTCCTTAAAATCTAAGTGCTGATAAGGATGGTATGAAAGGGACTGGAACAGCCTTAATTTGCAATTTAAAAATCCAGAGATGGTGCCACCCTCACAACTTAACCTAAATTTATGAAGGCCAAACCCAACAACTGGAGATAACAGTAATACTTGTTGTGTCTACCTCGTAAGGTCACTTGCTGTGAGATTCAAAGCACATGAATGTTAATGTACCATCTGAAAACCAAGTACTGCACAGGACTGGCAATTGCTACTATGCTGCAGAAGTCCACTTCTCTCCCCTACCTTGAATATAAAGACAGAGAGAGCAGAGGCAGACACCAGACTGAGAAATCCTGGTGTTTTTTTTTGTTTATTTTTTTTTTTTTGTGAGAGGGTCTCACTGTGTATTTCAGGCTGGCCTTGAACTATGTAGCCCAGGCTGGAGTTGAATTTATGGCAATCTTCCTGCCTCAGTCTCCTGCATGCTGGAATTACAGGATTGTGCCACCATGCCTGGCTCAGATATCTACTATTAATAATAAACTTCTCTGTGTTTTAATAGGCCAAGAGACTACCTCCTTTATTCAGTCTTGTGTCTCATGTGTAATGCCTGGCCCAAAGCATCTATTTAATAAATACTTATAAAATTCATAAAGAAGAACTTGTTAATAAATATGAGGGGGTTTATTTAATGTCCTCAAGTGCCAGCTGAGTCTTCAAGGTCAAACACTGGCTTATTCAAGGGGTGCCTCACTTCTGTGGTAGGGTTATAAGAAATGACACAGATCACTGTGTGAACTTCCCCATGTTGTCGAAACATCATGTCATCATGCTCAGCAGAATTATCCTCAGCAACTCCCCCAATTACCTACACCTCAGAGCCTGCACTCTGCCTATGTCTGTGACAATCAGACTTTTTTTTCTTGATGGAATTTTATCTTACACTATTTTCTAGTACTTAGGCTAGGTGGGTTGGTTTCTAGTTCTTTTCTGAATGTCATCAGCATGTCAATCACTTGGCTCTAACTAGGTACACCCACATCCCAGCCATCTCTCGGTCTTTCACAACGCAGTCCTTGCTCCTTGAGCTGATGGGGATATTTTTCCTCATCTGAACTTCAGTGTTCAGGACACGCTTGGTGAATGAGGAAGTGTGAAGAAGAGCTGGCGGGGGCGTACAGGGGTGACTGGGCCAAGCTCAGCGTCCAGCCTATTGTGAAAGCTGCTGTTCTATCACTATGTCCGTCTTGAGCCAGCGGTCTTAACCTTCCCGTTTTTAGCCTGACTCTCAGCCACTGACTTGTTGCTAAGTGCAGAGAGGGTCCTCCATAAATACGGTTCTTGAAACATTTCTAGTTGAACATTTTCTTTCTCTTTTTAACTACATCAATGAACAGATTTGTTCCCATAACCTCTTCCCATAACTTACTGACTTCTCAGCAGTAGCTTGTCCAGCAAGTCACTGCCCGGTCACGGCCTAAAGAGCTACTGTGTCCAAAAAGCAAAACAAAACAGAACAAAACAAAACATGAAAGAATCTGACCTCATTGAAGAACCTCCGATCTAAGGAAATGTTTTTATAAATCTACTAAAACTTACCTTGGTTTCTCGTAGAAGAAACTGCAGATCCCGTCCACTGAGGATACCATGATTTTCCACATAACTAGGGATGTTCTTTGTGCTGGAACCATAAACAGTTGCATGCACTTCCATGTATGTATGAATGATATCCAGATAGATCTTCTTATTCTAAAGAGGGACATAAATTTAAAAAAATTTTTTTTCATTCACATAACAATCCATTCATAGGACAGAACCTCCTCTACGTGCCAGAGGCCATGGACACAGGAATTCTTAATATGGAGACAGCAGGAGTTGGGGAATCCAATGACCAAAATTTCTTTTTTAAGTAATCTGCTTAGATTTGGGGGGCAAAAGCACTCATACCAGCACTGTACAAGTTATGGCAACATATTGCTGAACATCACTGATAGCTCATGAAGTCTCATATTCATTTTAAATACTATCAGAGACCCAAAACATTGTTTTTGGCTCATCCCCTTTTTAGGGAAGGAAGTTTGGGGAAAGAAGGTCCAGAGAAGGCAGTTGGTTGGGCTAAAATATTTATCTGGAGTGGTTAAACTGTCCCTAAGGAACATAAACATCCCCAGCTTTTGCCAATATTCCTAGTGATGACTAACTCATGTTGTCAGAGTTGGATTTCAGTTAATTTTGATCATGGGGAGAAGAGTTTCCCACAATGTGTACTGATCTCCTCAGCAGCTGGAGAGACCAGAATACGCAGGTAGGCAAAAGCACAAAGAGAGATTAAATGGCAAATATGGTGAGCACTAAACATTCAGTTTATTTTTTACTAGAAGCAAAACCAAACCACTTTCCTGGGTTTGTAGGACTGAATTTCATGACATGTTAATGAAAACCACCTGCGAAGAGGAAGCAGGCTCACTTTCCCTTCCTCTTCATGTTCTGTGTGACTAAGTTGTTCAAACTGGATTTTGTATAGCATGGGGACTTTTCCCCTCCTCCAGCTTGAAAGACTTAAGTTCTGTAATGTTTTCCAGTTGTATGAGAGTGGGACAAAGGTTTTTTCCATTCCACACCATTTCCAAACATAAAGCAAATCTAGTAATAGCTGGATCCGTGACTCAAGACTGCTGGCAGGACGTTGGGCTGGCACACTGTATACGGAAGGGGATGCAGGCCTGAATGTGGTGGGAGATGATCTGCCCTCTGCCACTGAGCGCCCTGGTGACTGTTGCACAGGACTTCTAAAACCCTGGGGGAAGTCTTTTAAATCCCTACTTGGCAAGTCTTCATGAACAGAAAACTAACCACCCCACTAATGCACCAGGATGACTTGTTGGCTCAAGCAAGCCCTCCCTGTGGTCTAATCTGTGAACACATTGAACACCTGAACTCAAAGTGCAATTCCATGCCACATCTGTTGTGGCTTCTAGGTGCCAAACTCTGTTCTGCAGAGGTATAAACTCTAGAATGAGCAGTGTAGTGAGAAAAAGTTTATAAAAAATAATTCCCACTTGAAGCTTGAACCTGTCATACCTACTACAAAAGTTAAATGGAAAAGTTCTAGAGTATGGTTCTTGGGCTAGAGGTGCCTAGTAACTTCTGCACTCCTCTTACTCAAGTCTCTGGTTAAGCAGGCAGGAGTCTCTGTAACCCTACCTCCTCCCCTGCCTACTGGCCCAGAATGGGTCTAACAGGGTGGGAGGGATGCAGTCCTAGGTCACCAGCAGCCTGGGAATGGTAATGAGCTAAGGAAGACAAAAGGAGTCCATCAGATCTTCCTACTAGGTCAGAATCGTGTACACAAAGCCTGATGACTATGGGCATTAGAGTAAAAGAATCATTTGGTATAGGAGTCTCTGCAGCTGTGGGCCAGGTAACAAGGATCTGAGGAGGACAGCGCCAGATGAAGGGATAGGAAAAGAACCCATTAGGAGCTGAAGGGAAAGAGAAGGGAACACAGACAGACAGATGGTCACAGGAGGCATTTAAACATAGCAGCAATGGAGACATCATCTCTGTGAGAATGATGAGACAGAGAGACAAAGGAGGAGAAGAACAAGGTAGAAGGTGACAAAGACAAGAGAATGAGACAATGAAGAGAAAGAAATACCTGGTTTGGTGCTCACTGATTGGTGGCTGTTTCCCATCCTGAATTCCCTAGGCCTTTGTGGATCTCTACCACAACCGTAGCTACCCAAACTTTTCCCAGACACCACTCTACATTTTTACTTGGGCTAGCTGGGTAAATTCCAAAAGGAATCATCTCAGGACTTATGCAGGGATGCAGGGACAGGAGCCTCTCCTTGAAGCAAAAGGAGATACTTCCTGGTAAAAGCCAGCTGCTAAGTAGTGAGGATGGATCATAGGCTCTAGCTGAGATCTGGGGTAAGACATAGACAAAACACCAAAAGCTCCAACTGCTTCCCATCCTACAAATAAACATTCACTGCAGACAGACTCAAGATTAGGATCCCAGAATAAATGCCTGAGAAAAGAATCATATACTCTGTTAACACATGTGGCCATCAAATCCCAGAAAAGGGTATGGTTCAATTTGAGGAAGACAGAAGTCTCTGTACAAGCTAATAAAAAGCTTATGCACTTATTAACATTTAGCTATGGTTTCAGGCACCTTCAGAAAGGATTTATATAATCTCACAAACAAGAACTCCCAGCAGGTGATCAGATGGAACAATGTTTCAAGTATCATTGTAATCTCTGAAGTTGAGGTGGCAATTAGGCAACTACCTTAGCTCTCTTGTGCAGAAATTTGGTGAGGCTGAACCATGCTGTGTATTCTAGGTAAAAGTGCCATCGACACCTTTCTAATAGAGCCACACACACTCTGAGGGCAAATATTCCCTGGAGACTAAGGGAACCCAGTGACGTGTGACAGCTCAGATCTCTTTTCTGAATTTTGAGTCCAAGTAATGAACTGTTTCCTGAAATTTTCCACTTGGAATGCTGAGCCACTTCTAAATGGGTGCTACTGTACCCAGCCAGCATCCCTTCATTTGCTCCTGAGCTCAGTAAGTGGTGTCAATCTCCCCACCAGGAACCTACCTGAGAATCACGCTTACTGTTCCTGTGCCTCCCAAAGCCAAAAATAGACACATTAAGTAAGTAACAAAGCCCTGTTAATGCTATCTCTACAATACCAAGTTGGTCTCTTCCTCCTCCGGCCCTGCAGCACTGCTCATCTGGCTTGTGCTAGGATTAAAATTATCAGCACCATCACATAACTCTCTGTGATTCCAAGAGTACCACGTCTGTCCATGATTTTTGTAAGTAAGTGGCAGTGTTGGGATCCACCAGAAAAGAATTTGTATGGCTTGATGCTACTAAATTTTTAACCATGCAAAACAATATTATGCATATAGGTGATATCTATATATGTGGACATTTGTAGTTCAAGTACAAAAATATGCATGAGGATGACATAAAAACTTCTAGGATTGATTACAGAGGAGAGATGATTTGGTAAAGCAGATAGAGCCTCAGTTCTATTTACAATACATCATTTATATGTTAAAAACATTGTAAGAAGAGGCTAGGGGTTTAGCTCAGCGGCATAAGCACCTGCCTGGCAAGTATGAATCATGAATTTGATTCCTAGCGCGTGCGCGCGCATGCGCGCGCGCACACACACACACACACACACACACACAAAGGCAAAGCAAAAAGTTAGCATCTGTAAATCTGGATGGTGTCTAGATGTCTACTATGATTTGAATCTATTTCCTAACAGTTAACAGTATTTCAAGATGGGTCTTTGAATGTAATTAGGATTAGATGTAGATGAGGTCAGGGTCCCCATGATAGCACTGGAAACTTTTATAAGAGGAAGAGACACACCTGCTCTGTGTTTCCATGTAGTGAGGTAGCAAGAAGGCCCTCACCAGAGTCCAGGCAGAGGCCAGTTGTGTGCTCTTAGATTTTTCAGTCTCCAGAAGTATGAGCCACATAATCCTCTATATTCATTCTCAAATATTTGGTTATAGCAACAAAAAATGGACTGACACAATGTGTTTTTTAAAGACTTCTGTATATTTGGTGTATTATTCTACAACATAGACATAAACATTTAAAATAGATGTAATCATTAATAAACAAAACTCAGACTGTCCCAAGACTCCAAAGTTTTCACCCCTGCCACTACACCAGAAGGCTTAATTCTTGCCATCATAGGGTTCAAAGGATCCTTTTCCTTTCAGTGTATACTGTACACTGGTACATTTTAGGTTTAAGGAAAAAGGGGTTAAGGTTTCTTAAATGAAAGAGGTCCCTGCCTACCTTTCCCTAACTCAGGGGAAGACCCAAAGTAGGAAGGGGTGCACAGACAGGGATGGGAACATCATTTAACATGCACACCAACCCTTTCCACAGCTTGGTTATCTAGGCCTTGGGTAAAGCTGACATCACCGACACAGAAGTCCCACTGATCTAAGAATTGAGTGAAGATCACTTCCTAAAAAGCTTTGCTTCTCTGACTTATGAGGTCAGGATCAAGGAAAATTATTCTCAAAGCCTTTTCACCAACTGATTTCTTCAGACACAGCCAAAAGGGGTGTGCACTGAGCAGCACACCACAGTAGCACATCACTTTTGCCTCGGAGCCACAGGAAAAGCCTCTAGGAGATCCCAGCTCAGTGATTCTACAGCCCTCTAATGCTTTCAGTCTCTGGTTCAATTTAAATTTCCTTTAAAAACTACTGATCTAACTGATTAAAATTTAAATCTACCTAACCTCATTTGCAGGGAGGGGATTTGAAGGAAAAGAAGAATGCATGCTAGAGTCAAGGAACACTGTTGTCAGCGTGTCTCTGGCTGTTTATGGCTGTAGCTGGAGGCAGGTACATTTGTAGAACAGGTATGAAGATATTTAGAGCTTGGATGCAGAGCTTTAGGAAAACAATTCAATCTAAACAACACATCCATGTGTCCACAGCAGGGGAGAGGCACAATGTACAACTGGAGAATCAGAAGCTCTCTTCCAACTTCTTTTGCGGCTGCAGAGCTGGGGGTACAGGAATACTCCAGGAACTTCCTTAGACAAGTGGTAGTTTCTGAGCTTGGGGCTGGAGTGGATACTGTGTAATTCTCCCCAGTAACAACTCTGACTCCCCACTGCAGACACATACAGCTCTTCTGGGTATCACTTCCCTTATTTATCTTGCATCTCCTTTTGACCTGCTACTTTT